TGTCGAGGAACGGCGCCGTCTGTGGGCGTAAGTATATGGGCTTACATTTCTGCCACAATTCTGCGCGCGAAAGATCATATTTTGAGCGCACAAAAGTGTGTTTTGCACGCGCGCGAACTGAGTTTTGTGGAGAAAAAGTTTGCCTCGCACAGAAGAAAGTATTTAGAGCCACATCCAAAAACTTATTTTAAATGCAAAATTGATTTTCGTGCGCTCGAAATACTTTCTTCTTTGCGAGACAAACATTTTCTTCACAAAACGCACTTTTGCGCGCTCAAAATATCTTTCGCGCGCAGAATTTCGGCAGAAATGTAATTCCATATAAGTAGAGCCGGAGACGGCTTTTTTAGGACACTCCAAAACCTGACTGAAGCTTACGCGCTAATAAGCCTTCAGAGAGAAAGGCCAGTAAACCGTCAAAGGCGATGCTTGAACACCAACTTTTCTGGCGGATTTTCTCTCAGCCCGAGGCTCTGCTAATTGCTAGTGTGTCAGAGCACATGACGGGCTGTTCTTTATAAATACCCGGCGCTCCAGGCTCCTCGGAGGCACACGGGGATCATAAACCTGCCGACTGGACAGGCACCGTCTCCATTCGGGGAAACGAGCCGCAGGAGGAAGGTGGAGCGCGCTGTAAAACCGGCAAAGCTCCCTTTCAGATCAGCCAGTAAAACTAATGAGTGCAATAGAAGGCAGGACTGGATTCCAGCGCACAAAAGCATCCGAAGAGGAAGAAGACATCGGATTCTGGAGGAAAAAAAAAAAATTTTTCTGAAAAAGTAAATTCGGTCATCATTTACTCAAGACTGATTCTGAAAGTGTCAATATTTAAAAACAGTGTGTAGTGTAATCTTTAGCAAATTACTAAATTAATATCCATTTTTCATGCTGTGCATTATGTGGTGACAAACTGATTGTAGTTGTTACTGTTTTCATTTTATTTAGATAACACCGTATCATTAAATATAAGCATTTATTGGTTATCAGCAATAACATGAAAATAATAACAGCTTATCAGCATCGGCCAAAATAACAACAATGACACTGGTGACCCCTAACAATAACAAAACAATATTTAAAGTCGTTATTTACCAGTTTTGACGTCAGTGACTCCAAATTCGATTGGTTGTGGCGTATCTCTTGACCAATCGTGTGAAGTATGAATATGGATAAGATTTGTGAGCTGCTGTGAAATTGGAAGCTTTTCAGTGGAATAATGACTTTAATTCTGGTCTTTTCCTTACATAAAGCCACTGCATGAGTTATATTTGAATATTTCTTGCATTAGAATATAGAGCACGAGTCATATGAACCACTTCTATGATGGTCATTTCTGAAGAACAACAACAGCATGTGTTCCAATACACTTTGTTTAAAAGTTTCTACTGAATGAAGTCTCTTCTGCTCACCAAGGGTGTGTTTATTTGATAAGAAATACAGTACAAACAGTGAAATATTATTACAGTTTAAAACAGCTGTTTTCTATGTGAATCTCTGTTAAACTGTAATGTATTTCTGTGATGCGCAGCTGTATTTTCAGCATCATTACTGCAGTCTTCAGTGTCACATGATCTTCAGAAATCATTCTAATATGCTGATTTGCTGCTCAAGAAACATTTCTGATTATTATCAATGTTGAACACAGTTGTGCTGCACAATATTTTTGTGGAAACTGTGATACATTTTATTTTTCAGGATTCACAGATGAACAGAAAGTTCAGAAGAACAGCATTTATTTGAAACAGAAATATTTTGTAACATTAAAAAAGTTTTTACTGCCACTTTTGATCGATTTAATGTGCCTTGATTAATAAAAGTATTAATTTCTTAAAAAACCTAGACTTTTGAAAGGCAGCATATTTGCCTAATTTCAGTATTTCCAGAAGTTAAACAGGTTTGCAATGACATGAGAATGACTAAATGTTCATTTTTGGGTGAACTAATGCTTAAACTGTTGTGTATGCATGCATTTTTCTACACATTATGTTGATATGTTGACAGTGCAAGGTGCAGAAACGCTTGATTTATGTGCTTTGACAGAGGCCATTAATCATGCCACTATCTCCTATTGCATCCAAACCACAAACCCCACAGTCTGAACGTCCGTATAATAGCATGCTGTGAAGTGATACGGGATTCCTCCGATCGAACACGGGAAGCTGAGAGCACTGCGGTCTGCGGGGAAGAGCTCGACAAGGCCTCCGTTTCGACCCAAAGGAAACGTGTTTTGAGAAGTCAGAGCCGACGCTGAGGTAATGACTTGAGATGCTCAAACACGGGAACCCGAGGAGGGCGCTTGACCCAAATCACTTCAGCAAATACAGACAACAAATGGACCACACTGAAGCAGCTCTTACGCTTTTTCATAACGTGTCAGTAGTGCAGCGCTTTAATAAAACAGCCACTCGCACTGGTATCAGTTTGAGATGAGCTCTTCAGAAGATGCAAATGTGCCTGTTATTAACTGTGAATAATGCCGAATTCAACTCCTGAAGACAGACATAAAGTCGCTGCTGAAAACTAAATCATCACCCATAACCGTAGTCTATTACTTTAAAAATGGAAGCCTGAAAACTCTATTACTTTGTCACTTTAAGAGCCGCAAGTCAAGTCTAACATAAAAAGCTGTAGATGTACCGAAGCCTCGGAGAGTTTTATTTGTTTCCCTGAGCCAGCTATACTTTTAAAAGCCACCATCGCTGCAAAATACTGCTTCTGCCAAAAGCAAGGCCGTCTGAACGCATCGCTACCCCTGCATTCACTCACAGCTGGCACTAATGCAACTTCTCAAATTAGTTCTGGTTCTTTAAGCCGGGACAACAGGCGGTGTGGGGTCACAGAAATGCTTCAGATTCCCGTCCCAAAGACAACATTATTGTATGAGCATGCATCAGATGCTCGCTCTAGAGATGACATGTCAGATGCAAAGATTGATGCTAAATCTGTTGAAATTATTATTTTTTAGCATTTACAAAAAAAACTTATATAAGTGATAATATTGTATGATAATATTGTACAATTATAACAATTCAATTTACAGCTCCTTCATAAACTGAGTGTGTGCATAGAAAAGCAAAAACAGATGGATGCACATTCTTTACTCATTGTTTTGTAGAAATAAAGTTTAAAAATCTTTTTGTAGAAAAGGTGCATCACCATCTTGTTCTGACCAAAGTGACACGAACACACCTGATGCTGTAAATACGACTTGCCTACTCATAAATACTAACTTACCAGGAGAACTCAAACACACCACTTATTTATGGTTATCTTTAGTTAACGTTCTTGGTGTGGATGGGTCTTAACCTCCTGGGTTTTTGCTCTTTTTAAGACAGTGAGGAACGAGTCAGTTATTTTTGTGGTAATCAACATTATGCCATAAATGCAGATTGAGTTTTTACAGTTCATGCATTTACAGTGAACATGAAACAAAAGCTGGCATGATTTATTTGTTAATATGCATCTACTAAACACAAAATGGACTGCAAACACCATTTCACGTTGACTTTAAGCATGATTCATATACGTGCCAATAAAGCAACACTCCCTGATTTACTGAAAGGTGACACAAATGCCAGTGACAATGACCGTGCCTTCAGACAAAGCAGAATTATTCAACCCAGTGTGACTGAAGTCTGCAGTCATGTCCACCTCAAAAGTGCATGTGACAAAACTGATTAAGAGGTAGAACAAACCCACAGCCAGGGCATCACAGGAACATTTACAAATACTCCGGTTAATAGACGAAGAAAACTGTCTCAGTGTGACACCCACTCATGCTGTCTAGTTAGCCAGCACAGGAGGATCTGAGACATTCTTCAGACTATCTACACAAACATCTGACATCACCCTGTGTTTACATTACTCCCGCAATGAACGTGTTTAAACAGTCAGTTATCTCCTAAATCACTGCTCCTAAAAACATGTTTATAGGCTATAGAAACACAAATGGACACACATCAGACAGTCGCTAGCAGTTAACCAGCTTTACTGAGTTTTAGCATTTTAATTCGGTTTGAAAACTCAAGTGAAAACAAGTTAGCCAAACAGCTAAAGCTAATACAAAAGTCAAACGAGGTGACGAAACATACTTTTAAAATATTCCAAACGCCAAAGAAAATGCATTAACGTTACATTCTGAGAAAAATGCCCACTATTTATAACTTTAAAAGCGTTATCCGCAGTTAATATTTTTTCGGACAGCTAGCCCGATCCAGCTTAGCTAAATAGGTAAAAAACGCCATATATGCCGTAGTTTAAAGATTATTTATTTAAATAAGTGAAACCAAATAAGTAAAACAACTTTTTTATCTGGTAAACAGTAAATAAAAAGCTATTTATGAGCTGTGACGATTAACAGGAGAGAGCAAAATAAAGTCCGAGTAACGGTAAAAACAAACCGATTCACTTCATCGATATCATCGGTTTATGAAATGAGTTATGAGCCCGTTTCGACTGAAAATACAACGCCTCGAGGCAGGATGAGTGTGTGTGTGTGTGTGTGAGAGACAGAGAGAGAGAGAGAGTGTGTGTGATTAATGCTGGAGATCTTTACAGTCTGATTGTAGGTGATTGTGTTTGTGGTTATCAGTGTTTATGATCATCTCGTCTGGCAGGACAGTGACACACACACACACACACGTGAACGCATTCAGTCCGCTCCGGTATCACGCAATCAGGAGTGATATGAAGGAGTTTCTCCGCTTTTCTTCTCTTTCGTGAAGGAATAACGGAGCCCCCCTCTCTCTCTCTCTCTCTCTCTCTCTCTCTCTCTCTCTCTCTCTCTCTCTCTCTCTCTCTCTCTCTCTCTCTCTCTCTCTCTCTTTCTCTCTCTCTGTCTGTCTCTCTGTGTGTGTCTCTCTCTCTCTGACCTGCGCCATCTTTGTAGAAAGACTCTCTTTGGGGCTGCAGTTGCTTGCAAACAAAGAGCAGCCCTCCGATGGCCCCCGGACGAACGGCATTGACGGGCGGAGCGCAGAACGCAGCGCCGCTGTTCGTACCTTCAGTGTGCTGGATCCTGGCTCCAAAGAGCAGCGCTAAAAACACCAGACGGCACGGTACTGCATCCATCATCATCATCATCATCCTCCTCCTCCTCATCATCATCACCCTCATCCTCCCCGCGCTCGCGCTTCTTCTGCGAGCCTCCAGCGGTTAGTGTGAGTGAGTGAGGCGGACGCAGCGCGGAGAGACAGCGCAGCGCAGCGCGATCATTGGCTGCTCGCAGAGACACCGATCCCCGCCCAGCTCGCGGTCAGTCTGGAGTCTGGACACATTCCTGTCCTCTTCTGTCTGATTGCTTCTCTCTGCTCTTCTGCACGCACCAAACAATATGAAACACATGCCCGAGTCTGACCGGAGCGACTGCAAAACTCCTGAGATATAGCCTGGGTATAAAGTAAATAACAATGATCTGTTTACGAAGAGATATTTTACAATGCTGTCAGACACAAATAAACATGCCATGGCTAACATGGCACTGTGGCTACTATATATAACAAAAGTAAAATGATATAAATTAATTATAGGCTATTCTTTATATTTTTTTAGTTTTACAATCAAATTATTTCTTTATGTGCATTGGCTTTAAATAAAGCTGTCAGACAGCATAAAACACGGTATAATACTGTGGTCGCTTCTGACATGGTTTGGTAATCATTCAGTAACAAGGTGCATAGTCTATTATTTATGGCTTCAGGTTATTTTTTATGAATGGTTCTAGCTCCATTGTGTTCTTCATTGCACACTGGATCACAGTTAACCATGGCTTCAGCTGGCAATACTATAGTAATAACAAATTTACCAGGGATTTGAGGTACTTTGCTGAGGAGAAACATGGTAGTTTGCTTCATACCATGTAAACGCATGCTATATGAATATAATAACAAGGTAATTAGAATTAGGTTATTACAGTAAAATCATAAATTCGTTCATAATTTAATAAATCATAATTAATCTAAATTAGCAAAGAGTTGAAACAACAATGATTGTGAATCAAGACTGTAAGCACACATTCGGGATTATAGATTGATCCAATGCAATATTTTATATAAATAAAAATAAAATTTCCAAGGATTTTTATATGAAGTGTTTCACTAATGAGCAACACTGAATCAAATCCAGCTTTGAGCATCCAGAACCATCATCAAGTGACTGTAGAGCAACAGGCAACTTCACAATCTTCACACACTTTTCACCCAAAGCAGGTATTTTAAATATTCTCCAAATATATATATATATATATATATACACAGCAGATTGTCTTTGTGTCTCCTCTGCCGTCCCTCATGCATATATTCATCCAAGAGGACAACACATCTGACCTCGTCGAACCTCCATCCCCCCAAAGCCAGAGATTGATGAGGGCCGATTGTTGGATGTGGGTCTGCAGGTCCGGATTCAGGGGCCCTTCCCCCTTCAGCACACTTAACGAGGGCCCGATTCCTCCGTCACAGAAGGTGAATGGTCCTGCTGAAGACGGCTGCTGGAGGGTCAAGCACATGTGTGTCGTATCAGCTGTTACAGACACGTCTGATCACACTTCAACTGTAACATATATGTAACAACTAAATATAGGTTCCTAAAAATAACTCATTCAAAGCAGGATTATTTTAGTACTATTTAAATAGACCTACTATATTCATATGTTTATATTTTCCATTTTCATTTCAGTTTTGCCTTTGTCTTTTTATCAGTTTTTCTTGAATTATTTTTTATAGCTTATTTCAGTTTTTAGTCATTTGATATGTATTTGTTTCAGTCAGTTGCCAAAGCAATATTCAAGTTTAAGTTTTCCATCTAATATTTATGTCTGTATTTTATTTCAGCTTGATTTCCATTACTGAAAAATCATTTTAAAGTTAACAGTAACATCACTGATTCAAAGACTGCTACAGGAAGTGGTAATGTTTAATAAGGTGCCTTTTATTGTTTTTTGCAAATTGCAAAACTGTGCATTTCCCCCCACATCAGAATGGTCCTGCTGAAGACGGCTGCTGGAGGGTCAAGCACATGTGTGTCGTATCAGCTGTTACAGACACGTCTGATCACACTTCAACTGTAACATATATGTAACAACTAAATATAGGTTCCTAAAAATAACTCATTCAAAGCAGGATTATTTTAGTACTATTTAAATAGACCTACTATATTCATATGTTTATATTTTCCATTTTCATTTCAGTTTTGCCTTTGTCTTTTTATCAGTTTTTCTTGAATTATTTTTTATAGCTTATTTCAGTTTTTAGTCATTTGATATGTATTTGTTTCAGTCAGTTGCCAAAGCAATATTCAAGTTTAAGTTTTCCATCTAATATTTATGTCTGTATTTTATTTCAGCTTGATTTCCATTACTGAAAAATCATTTTAAAGTTAACAGTAACATCACTGATTCAAAGACTGCTACAGGAAGTGGTAATGTTTAATAAGGTGCCTTTTATTGTTTTTTGCAAATTGCAAAACTGTGCATTTCCCCCCACATCAGCCTTTCTGTAAAAAATAGCAATTAAAATATATGATATTATGTTGTTTGTGTTAGGAGTATGAGCTTTTGTATTGTCTTTTTCTGTTACGTCTGTCTTATTGTTTGATGCTACGACTACCCTGAGTTGTTTCCTTGCCTGAGTTTATGTGGATTATAATATTAAAGACTTTTCGTTGTGGATTATCCTTCATCTTCTTCGCCTTCATTGGAGAGACTGTAACAGTTTGATGTCTTGCATGATATCTTGTTGTTGTTGTTGTTTTTTGTGTGTGTGTGTTTGTTTATATATGTATATATATATATATATATATACACTGTTAATTGTAATTAATGTTCTTTATGTTATATGGTGGATATGTGTTCACTGCAGCAAGACTGTTTATTGGAGTTTATTGCACTGCAAAGTTTATTGGAAATAATAAAGTATACTTCAATTCAAGACCAAACACTCTAGTGACACATAATGCAAACATAATTCGGAAAATAACACTTTTTTTTTTTTATTACATCTATTTACATATATTTTTTCCCATTAAAAAAATCAGTTATTTAAGGATTTTTATAGTCAGCAATTTCAAGTTGTGATGCATTTTAAAACTTTCTGCAGTGTTAAAATATGCATATTTTTAAGGCGTTGCTGGTAGCAATGGACAATTACACAAGTAGATTATTTCTAAACGTAGTTGTTGAGCATAAGAAGTGATTTGCATCGAGTATGTATTAACCTGACCTGGTTTTGGCAAAGGATGGGTGTTGTGTTTAACCTTGAGACGTGTTAGAAATGACCCGTCTGGCGCACTCCTCATTTAGAGCCCAAAACTCAGAAACACTCATTAATTCACGCTGCAACAGTGTTCGTCTAAAAAAAACCTGTCTACACTATTAAGCAGTAATGGGGTTAACCATAAGTAGGGCAAACAAAAAATCTCTCCACTTAAGGGAATATTTTAGTCCACAGAGTAATTATTCAACAAAGTTCATGTTCAAAAGAATATAATGCCATTTTTGTGCTAATTGGGCAAATAAAAGAGGTACAATGTGTTACATTATAGTACGAGAGACTTTAAAGCTGTAAAATCTAATGCATAAATCATACATTGCCTTTTGCCTCTGTCAAAACAGCCTTTTTAATCTACAGAGATGCAGAGATCAAAAAGATTGGATTTTCATTGACACACAATCTCAAAATCTGAAGAAATGTGAGTGGTGCTTGTAAAACTCACCGCCACAATGTATCTGTGGTTGCTAGGGTCTTATGGGTGGTTGCTAAGTGTTTGCACACTGTCAAAAATCCTGAAATCTCTGATATTCTGGTTTCTGTATATGACTTGGATCTTTCAGTGTAACTCTACGGGATATTTGCACAAATTTTAGCATCTACAGGTGAAAATTATGCAATAAAGAAATAAAAAAGGTCTTTTTGACATTTTATCTCACAATTCTGACTTTTTTTTTCTCACAACTCAAATCTCTGTTTTCTGTTTTTGACACAATAAATAAATAAGAAATTCAGATTTTTTTTCCTGCAATTCAGATTTTTTTTCACTGAATTCTGGGTTTGAATCTCGTAGTTCTGTTTTTTTAACCACAGAATAAAGATTGTAATTATGACTTTTTTTCTCTGAATTGTGAGAGCAATTACGTTATTTATTTGCTTATGTTGTGGCGAAAACAAGCTTTCATTAGAAAAGTGAAAGTCTTTAATTATGAGATGACAATCAACGGTTCTTGAATTTAGTCTCTTCTGGTCCCTTCATCCCAGCAGAGGAGCGTCTGCTTTCTTGAGGATGTGGCTCTTCATGCAGACGTGTCACTGAGGACAGCTTGACTCCAGCTAGACAGGCAAATGAATCAGGGCTGTGGTCACACACGTCTCCACGAGTCTCGCCCGTCTGCTTGCTCCCCCGCGTCTCACAGGTTCCTGAGGGTCACACACCATTTATCCTTAATTAGTGTTATTTAAGTCTTTCAAAAACACGCTCTCATCGGGGCATTCGTGTCTGGAAGGGAGGAGAGTTGTGTTGAGACGAGAGAGATGAACACATGCACACTGCCCCTGGGTAGATTTAGAGCTTTAATTATTTTTACCACTGTTTGCTCAGGATAAAAGTATTAAAGTGTTACATTTAACTCATTCAGCACCGTTTGTGCAACAGATGTGAATAATATCACAAATAGTGTGACTTATTGAGGAAACAGGGTGCTATACAGTTTTTCTTTTAAAGGAATAATTCAGCCAAACATGAGAATGTGCTGAAAATATCCTCACCTTCAGGCCAACCACAATGTAGAGGAGTTTGTTTGTTCATCAGGTTTGGAGAAATGTAGCACTGCATCAGTGTCTCAGCAATGGATGCTCTGCAGTGAATGGGTGCCGTCAGAATGAGAGTCCAAACCAGAGATGTTCACAAGTCTTTAACTTGGAGTCCGAGTCGAGTCTCAAGTCATTTAATGACTCGCTAAAAAATCCCATTCAGAATCCTCATGTATTGAACTCTTCATATTTACGAAGCTGTTTCAGACTATAGACAAAATATATGATTTGTTTTTTTTTTAAAGAGGTGTAAAGATGTAAGGTTAATGTACATCCAGCCTGTTACTTATGTTTTAATCCATTACCATGTTCAAAACAGTTTTTCTGTAATCAAATTCTATAATAAGAGTCCTATCTACCATGACACATAAGGAAATATGTGGCACAGATATTACAAAACCATACAAATAAATTATTTATTTTTTAATATAAGTCAGGGGTATTCAATTAAAGTTCCAAGAGGCACGGCCTCTATATTTTCTTCCAAGCAGATGTCCGGACAAAAAATTAATAAATAAATAAATTACATGTATTGAATTTTTACATTACATTTTTACATGCATCCAATCAGCAACTGATGCACAGAACCAAACCCGCCCTACATTACAATACAGAAGAAAAGATCTGTTGTTACTTCATTTCATGGTGACTTTAAGTCCAGATCGTGTCGGTGAGGCTCCTGCGGTCCGATTAGTGTGTGCTAACACATTATTTTCTCTCGCTCTCAATTTCCTGATTGCTGTTTTGACGCGGGCTGCCAAGGCCCTCCCGGTGCTCAGGTGACAGTGGCAGACCTCTCTTTAAGTGTTAATGGGACGTCACCAGCTGTCCGCACAGGCAGCTCCAGAGCCCCGCTCCGAACCATCTGTGCATCCTCCATCATTACTGCCTCTGAACAGAGAACAGAGAACAGAGAGAGAGCGAGGTGGCCAGAGCTCAGGAGACACAAACGCAAGGAGGGTTTAAACAGAGAGCAGATAATGAGGAGCGCTGAGATCTCCCGGAGGAATACGGCCAGCTGTCACTCACAAACCCTGCGGGCCACCTGGACCCGATTCCCACACTCACCAAACCCGCTGGAACGGCCTCTCAATCATACGACTCAATGCACGTTTCATTCAGACTCATGTCAGACTGATCCAGGATCAGCTCTCCCTATCAGACTCGTGATTTATAGAGAGGTTCAGCTCACTCTCAGCTGTTACGGGTCGACGCAAAACTGTTGTGCTCTTGATGTGATGACTAAAGATTTTAGGTGCGTTCCGATTGACAGGGTCCCTACGCAGTGTCCACTGCTCCCTACTCCCTAAGCACGGGATATCTGTTGAAGTGGACTTCGCTGACAATAATCACTCATTTGGAACGCCCTGGAATGTCATCAAAGAAAGGCAATGACGGGGTCACGCAGATTCATTCAATACAATATGCAAATGTAACATTAACGGCCATAACCATTCATAAATACTCTAATTTGAATAATAATAACAACATTTATTGCAACGCCTCCATTGCAGAGCCTTTTAAAAACTCTTTCAACGGCTCTGCTCCAGTTAGTTCTGACTGGTGACGCACTGCGCAATGACAGCTGGGTGATATTCCCTCTCCACTTCCTGTGAAGTGATGCATCAATGTTCCCTTATTCCCTATGCCGTTCACAGTGCCCTTCGGACTGAACATGTTCACTCCCTTCGGATTGGAATCTCACTTAAGATGGCGAAATACCCTGTGAAGTCCACTTCGTAGTCCACTAACGGTTGAATGGAACGCACCTTTTAACTTTAATTTTATGGTGCATTTAAATCGTTTATCATGGCTAATAATAGTTTGACTTTTTTTCATTTAAATGTCAAATACAGTTTAAAGCAATTTTATCAAATCATGAAAATCTGCTACCACAAAAAACACCTGGGTAATCACGTAGTAATGCCCTAGCAACCACCTACAACTCTAGTAACACCCTAGCAACCACCTACAACCCTCTAGTAACACCATAGCAACCACCTACAACACTCTAGCCACGCCCTAGCAACCACCTAAAACACTCTAGTAACACCCTAGCAACCACCTACAACACTCTGGTAATACCCTAGCATAGTATCACCCTAGCAACCACCTACAACACTATAGTAACACCCTAGCAACCACCTACAACACTCTGGTAACACCCTAGCATAGTAACACCCTAGCAACCACCTACAACCCTCTAGTAACAGCCTAGCAACCACCTACAACCCTCTAGTAACACCCTAGAAACCACCTACAACACTCTGGTAACACCCTAGCAACCACCTACAACACTCTGGTAATACCCTAGCATAGTATCACCCTAGCAACCACCTGCAACACTCTAGTAACACCCTAGCAACCACCTACAACACTCTAGCAACACCCTAGCAACCACCTACAACACTCTAGTAACACCCTAGCAACCACCTACAACCCTCTAGTAACACCCTAGCGACCACCTACAACCCTCTAGTAACACCCTAGCGACCACCTACAACACTTTATAATACCCTAGCAACCACCTACAACACTCTATAATAACCTAGCAACCACCTACAACACTCTATAATACCCTAGCAACCACCTACAGCACTCTAGTAACACCCTAGCAACCACCTACAACACTCTATAATACCCTAGCAACCACCTACCACACTCTAGTAACACCCTAGCATAGTAACACCGTAGAAACCACCTACAACCCTCTAGTAACTCCCTAGCAACCACCTACAACCCTCTAGTAACACCCTAGCAACCACCTACAGCACTCCAGCCACGCCCTAGCAACCACCTACAACACTCTATAATACCCTAGCAACCACCTACAACTACAACATCTAGTAAAACCACTCAAATTAGTTTTTGACCCACTTAAGCAGGACTTCAGCACATCTTTATATGTAATTTCATAATTACTTGCATTGTCTATTGTCTTAAAGTACTGCTGAATGTACGTACTGACAATCTAAAAAACTCATAAGCCAAGGCACTCGAAAATGTAGTGAAAAAATAAAAAGCCTTTATTCACATGGCTTTGCATTAAAAAAGCTGAACTGGTCACACTATAAATCATTCAGAGCTTTATGAAGAATCATCACATGAAGGAGAGATCTGGCCGAGAAACACGCTTAAACAATCATCACTCTCAGACTGTTAATTAAATGAAACTCTTCATTATTTATCATAGCGGTCATGACTTCATCAGAAGCGTCTGAAAAACAGCTGAAGCCGGTTTGCTGGTCTTATGGAGTTCTCTGGTCCTGCCCAAACCCTCTTAAACCTGCAGACCAGACCAGACTGAACAATACAGTACAGTGCGACTCCTCTGTCTTGTGGTTAATTACACTGTTTATAAAACATCTATAAACCATAGACCAGGGCTGTCCAAACTCGGTCCTGGAGGGCCGGTGTGCTGCAGAGTTTAGCTCCAACTTGCCTGTCGCCATCTTGGCAGCGCTTCACCGCGCGTCACTCCCCGATAATCGAAAATGGGCAAAGAGGCGGGACGTGGGTGGCGCTGAGGTGCTCAAAGTGTTCACTGCACAGACGAGAAACCTTTTTAGGAGTCCAATTCTGTCGGTGTCCTCCCATAGAAAACCGTTATAAGGTAAACGCTTACATGGCTTAATGCATTAAAACAGTGCTTGTCTGTACATAGTATGATTTATTAATTATGTTCTCACTGAGTTTCGTCTTTTAAAAACAGGTTTAATCGGTTTTAATTCATTAAGCGTTCGCTATAAACAGACTCTTGGTAATCCCAGGTCGTGTTGAAGCACACAAAACAGCATCATTGTGAGGCTGGTGGTGAATGTGTCTGAGGCCCCCGTGAGGAAGCAGTCTGTCATTACTCACAGAACACACAAACAACAGGCCTTCCAACTTCACTCTACACAGGAATGTTTGACATAAATCAATGATTATTAGAGTACATTTGACAAGAAAATACTCATTCAGTTTTTCTATTTTACAATTAATTCAGTGAGTTACTTGCCATTTATTTGAAATTATTTGTGAAATGTACTAGTTTTTTCCAGTGTTGTTTGACATTCATTTCTACTCAAGGTTTCAGTGAACATGCAGATATATTCAGCGGTTATCTGCTAACAACCCTGTCTCTCTACATCATCAATAACACAAGATATCAGTGTCTCTTTCTGTTTACAATCACTCTCTCTTTACTGTAATATTAATACCTTCATGTTCTGTAGAGACTGATGTAATGCCTAGTTTTGGGGTCCTAAAATCGATTGTTTTTCCTTCCCCTTCTATAAATATTTCCTGCTGAGCTAATAAGGCAGAGATGACAGATATTATTGAAGTTTTAACCTGGAAATGTGACTTTATATATTGTGCTCTGTTTGACACACAAAACACGTCGGTGACTCTTGGAGCCCAGACTAAATTATTGTAACATTATTGTGAAGGACGTTTGAAGCATGTTGTTAAATCTTAATTTTGTCCATAATCGGTTCTCGTAATATTTGGAAAATTCATGAAGTATCCCAGACCAAACAGAAGATAAAGGTTATGACTGTCCAATTTTGATGACCATATGAATAACTCACCTCACTGACACTGGATGAGAGAAACCTCTGACACACACACACACACACACACACTAACACAACACACACACACACACACACACACATTGACATGAATGCATTTGGCAGACACTTTTATTCAATACGACTTACACTGCATTCAAGGTACACACTGACATTTTTCAGTTCATGCCTTCCCTGGGAATCGAAGCCATGACCTTGGGTTATAAATGAAATAAACTGCAGAGATGTTCCCTGTAGCTTTGAAAACCCTGAATAGGACACATAAAAATGAATTAAACAGTAAATAAATAAAACATCTCTGCTTGCTTCATATAGGCTCTTTAACACCGAGGTCTTTAGTTGAGCTGCAGTGAACGTCTGCCGAATCACACACCGGATTCATTCCTCCATTTCTGATGCTGCCACTAATAATCAAAACACAAATCAAACATAATCTGAATATAGTTATCATTTCCATCCTGACTACAGCAATCAATCATACGGTAGATCAGTGCAGCTTGTTACATTTCATATTGTGTGCATTGCTTTCTATAGAAAACAGCTGTTTGAAACTGTAATAATATTTCACATTTTTTACTGTAATTTTGATCAAATAAATGCAGCCTTGGTGAACAGAAGAGACTTCTTTCAAAAACATTAAAAATCTTACCGACCCCAAAATTGAGAGCAGTAGTGTATTAGATATGTAAGTTCAGTGAGTTCCTTAATAATTCACCAAGATATTTTGTTAAATGAATACAGCTTTGAATAATCTCTCAATAATTATGGAATAGTTTTATGTGCTGTAACAATTGAATTTATGGCCAATGGAAGATATTAAAAACTGATATTAAAGAGTTGATCCAGACTCACAGTCACGTCTTCATAACGTTCACATAATCTGGTTCTTGCGGAGACTAGAGGAGAAAAACAAGACCAAATTATTATAACGTAGATCTGCAATCAATTTCTGCTATTTTAAAGCTTGTTATTTTCTCAGCAATACAGTAACTACATATGATCCAAATAAATATACATAAAAATATTTTGTAAGTATTTACTGCATTTGATAAACGCTTTTTTTGACCAAAGCCGGGCCGGCTCTCACACTCACACTCACACACACACACACACACACACACAC